TGTTTACTACAGTCTGTTGAACTCATGTTCATGTGGATTTAATGACATTTACATTAGTGGAAAAAATTGCGGGGGGGTGGGGGTATAAAAAAAAAAAGACTAATCAAAAATACGTTGAAGATCTCCGATCTGAAGCATCAGAGCCAGTTATCATTTAACCCAAAGTTGTTAATCATATTCATTATATCAGAGATAAATGTATTTCTGAAGCCTACAGGAGGAGAAAAGACTTCAGTTTGTATTTTATGGTTATTAAACTTATTAAAGTGAAGCTCTATGTAAAAATGAGAGGACAGACTGCTGTTACGGTCCCAGGATGCTTCCAGAAGCTGCTGCTGAGCTTAAAACAGAAAAAGCTGAACAAAAAGCTCTGATGCACTTCAGTTTTTCACTTCAGGGGCAGTGAAACTCTCCCAGGCTGCAGGAAGTGGCCGTTTCTAATTATAAAAGCCACTGCTTTCACCACCAAACCTGCAAGAGAAACCACCAGAGAGGAGCCGGTTCCGGTTCTCGGTTTGGGGCTCGACTTTTTCTCAAAGAGGGGCAGAGTTTAAAGCACAAAACACAAGTTTAAAACCTCCAGAAACTCTCAAACATCTTATACTATATAAAAATATTTGACAGCTGCTGACAGATGCTGTAATAAAGGCCGGACCTGGGTCTGGATCTGTCCCTGGATCTGGATCTGTCCTGGTCTCCGGGGTCTGGACGGCGTGGTCATACAGCCCCTGGAACACACACACACACACACACACACACACACACAGAGTACAGGCGGTTCTCATTATGCGACACACACCAGTGCCAAAGGACCCCCCCACCGGCCGTAGAGCCCCAGGGACGCACCAGGATTTTGCGCTCGGCCTTCAGGGCGTGCACCACGTGGGGCAGGATCTTTTTGGGGTAGGTGCGGCGCCTCCTGGTGGTCTCCACGATGGTGTCGTCCAGCAGGCTGTCCAGATCCACGGCCTCATCGTCTGCCCGGTCAGAGGAAAGACACAGACCTTAATCTCCATACGTTCATTTACGTATCCTCAAAGGCAATTTTATTATGATCCACCTAAAATTAGGGATGCAAACGGTTAATCGACTTTAGATTAATTGTCGATCA